AATATACGCCATACAAAAATAGTCTCTAACACACGGTAGCTGATTTTTGCCATATCGTTGTTTCGTCTTTTCGCTCCGAAATCATATTCGATCGAAAAGAGGAAATAATTGCACAATAAATGAGGGGTAGAAATGTCGTCGTTTTGTTCTTTCTTCTTTCATTTAAAAAAACAACAACAACTGAACTCTCGTTATTTCGATTTTTCGCCCGACGATTTTACTTACTAACACATCCATTGCTAGCCTAATTACAGGGGCGAATTCGGCCCCGGAAAGAGGGAGGGGTAGTACTTTCCGTAAACGAGCAAAGGCATTTTCTCTTTTACGGAAAGTGTCGACGGTTTCCGATTGATGCGCCGACTAAAACGATAGGTAACTGAGCAGACGACCGTGATATCATCAACTTGACCTGTGCAAGTCAGTGATATGAATATGTAAGTTGTCATTTAATCGATTGAATATCAAAACAACGTATAATTTCATGCTTGGACATTAAGTGAAGAATAGATGTATTTTTTTTAAAATATCTGGTATCAATTTCAAACAAATCCTTGTTTTTAAAACAATGCAGAGATCTTATATCCTAGAATTTGTTTGGCATGTTGCGTGAGGGTACCCAAAAAGGAACACTTTTTTAAAGAAAAAATGTCAATATTTCATAGAAAAAATTCTGAAAGACAAAATTTTTAACTGTAATGATTATTTATGGAGCTCATTGAAGTGAGTCGGATTCACTTGGATTTTTTTCAAGCTGAAATGGAACCTATAAGTCAGTTTATGAAAATAACTAACAGATTTTAAAATAAATTTGTTCATTTCGAGACATTTTGACAATTTCTGACAAGTTTTTGCCATTTTTTCCCTAAAATATTTGTTTGAACCTAAAAGTTTAGAAACATGATAGGATATTTATGTTGTCGCACCGTTCCGTAACCCGGATTTTGTTCAATATTTCAATTGATTTTATGAACAAGCTTCAAGCGGTAGGCATATAAAATTTGCTGAAAATGTAGATCACATGCCATTCATTTTTATTGCAAAATAAAAATGCTGCATCATATTTATGAAAAGTGTTCCATTTTGGGTACCGTTCCATTTTGGGTCTACCCTCACCCTAGGTGCAAAGGCAAATTTCAAAATTCTAGCTTCGCTTTTCCATAGTCCAATGATAAATATATTACTCCATAAATTCTTTATACAATTAAAAATTACTTTAATGCATTGTCATCCGATGTTCTCCATAAAAAGAGTGCTTGACGAAGCATGAATACACTCAGTGTAGGGGACATAACTCGCCTTAGTGACCGCGCGATATCGATTCCTGTCTATCTGGGCTCGACTGGAGTATTTTGGGTTTATATGAGAAAAACGACTCTAGTCTATCGATCTGGACTAAGGGGTACAACCTCTGTTACAGACAGGAAATGTCCAAGTTCTGTGTATGTACCGTTACCAGGCTTATTATGGCGTGTCCAAACTACTTTCGTCTCTGTTACAGACAAACATATTCAAAATTAAAACGATCGAAAACAAGGAATATCGAAAAAAAACATCAACAGCTACAACATTGGTCTTTTGCCTGACAGGGCAAGTCAAAACAACAGCATATATATATAGTAATTACTTAGCCCCTAAATGTCCTGATGGAAACTCTGGATAACCAGACCCAAATTTCACCATCCAGAACCAGATAAATGGAAGTGAGTACTTTACATACGAGACAACCAATGATGACGTATTTAGTGATTTATACAAACATTGCCGGCCGTCGCTACATCTGGCATATGCCGATGAAATTTATATTACCCTAGTGGGCTTAGGTCATTAGTCTATCCTGCTGGACCTCCAGTCCTAGCTGGGCGTAGTGTAATAGGGCGATTACGGAAGCTTCCAGCATCACTCAAAACCTTAAACGTTTCTCTGGCGGTGCAATGTATTACTTTAACGATAGTCTGTCCTCGGAGGTGCCATTTTCTAGTGATGATATTTCAGCGCTTTAAATTTTGCGCAAAAATTATGATGATTGTGCCAATTCAGTCGGTTATACATGTGCTAAAATAAAAATACTTTTTACTTTACCTAACCATGCTAATTATCGAACTATTATTTGCATAATCAAATATTCAACAGTTTTAAAAGTTAACAATACTTTTGAATGCTTTTGATATTCAAAGAAATGTAAATTTTGCTGTACAACTTCACTTCTTACAAATTATTTTTCGTCCTAATGTGAGATTTTAATACTTTTCACTTGGCTACTGTATCGTCACTCATCGTGCTTCAAATACCGAATCGTTTTACACAGATTTTATTCTGACTGTAGGATTTACAGAAAATCCTCTGCTGTCAGCTCAATACGGTTTGAACAAATTCTGACAAGAGCATGGACATTTGAATAACATAAATCATTATACATAAATTCCAAATTAGAGTAATTAGTGTTCACAACACTATTCTGATAATTGATTATTAAAAAGTATATTCAGTTCATATAGTTAAATACGGGTGGAAAATACAATTGGTTCTCTATAATTATAGAGTATCGGTTGGTTTCTCCAGTGATGGTCTAGGCAAGACTCGAAAGATTTGATAGTTCTTGATAACATCAAATCTGGTGACAGGCTGTTCAAGATGTCAACAGTTCTGTGACAAAATGAAATCTTTCCTCATGTTTAGGCGCGTTCTGTCCTTAATTTATACTCATGGCCCCTTTCTCCAGTGATGGTCTAGGCAAGACTCGAAAGATTTGATAGTTCTTGATAACATCATCTCTGGTTACAGGCTGTTCCAGATGTCAACCGTTCTGTGACAAAATTAAATCTTTCTCATGTTTAGGCGCGTTCTATCCTTAATTTATACTCATGGCCCCTTTCTCCAGTGATGGTCTAGGCAAGACTCGAAAGATTTGATAGTTCTTGATAACATTATCTCTGGTGACAGGTTGTTCCAGATGTCAACAGTTCTGTGACAAAATTAAATCTTTCCTCATGTTTAGGCGCGTCGCGTTCTATCCTTAGTTTATACTCATGGCCCCTTGTAACAGTATTGTTCTTTTGTGACACTTCGGGATCATATTTCCCTGTCATTATTTTAAAAAGTTCAATCACGTCTGTAAGCCAATGTTGGAAGCTGCAATACCTCAAGTCTCTCTGGGTAGGACAGGTCTGTCAAACCCGGTATCAATTTAGTTGCTCTTCTCTGGATGTTTTCAATGGCTTCTATATGTTTTATGAGATGCGGTTGGCATATTCAAGATAAGGTCATACGAGTCCTTTGTATAGAGCTTTGAATGTATTATGGTCCATATATTCCATAGTTCTCCTAATTACACCCATAATCGAATTCGCTTTATTGATTTTTTCAGATATATGTACATCAAATGACAGTTTTGTTATCAGCTAACATAAACCGAAACCGAAATCATCGTTTGTAACTCGCAAAACAAGAATATATATGCCTGTGAATCCCTTTGGCTACAGTTTCTGATCCCTATCATCTAAGGATCATTTTATAATCCACCACCAATATTATTATCTAATGATTGTTTACCGACCGACAGACAAAAGACCATTCCAAATGATTATCCGACTGACTCGGGCAACGTAATAGAGCATATCTCTAGTTACCACTTTCAGAAAGTCGCCATTATTCTTACGAGAGTGTCTAGAAGGATCTTATCGCCGACCATGAAAGTATCATTATTAAATCTACTAAGATTATCTTTAACGTTTTAGCTCTTTCACTTTCTATACAGGTACTGTTACCCATTCCCGTGTTGGAAATTCTAAATGTGAATCTTGTACATTAACTTAAACCTCGCAATGACATATGCTATTTGCCACTATGACATGTTATTGCATAACTGCTGACAAAATGCTCTTTTTACATAATCAAAAGTGCCGTCAATGAGGAATCAATTCTCATTAGGACTAACGGTATTTTTCACAAGGGGATCTAACATCTAAAATGTAAGAAAGATCCCTCCAGCACTTTATGAGAAATATAGCGATAACACATCTTTGTGTCAAAATCCAAGATGGCTGCCAGTGGGAAATTTTGTTTTTCAAATAAGTTTCAAAAGAAAACATGCACAACTCAAGACCAAGAGGAACACATGAAATTTGGGAAAGATCCCTCCAGTACTTTCTGAGAAATAGCAATCACACACCTTACCTATCAAAATCCAAGATGGCGGCTTGTCGGCCATTTTGTTTTCCCGATCAGTCTCAAAAGTAAATACAATGTATGCATAACTAGGGACAAACGAGAACTTGCATATTAAATTTGAGAAACACTCTTACGGTAATCTCAGATATAGCGATAACAAGAATTGTTTAAGGACCGACGACAGGCGGTTCGATTAGTACACCATCTGTTGATGGTAGACTAAACCAAGAATTTGCTCATATTGAATCTGTTTTATAAGATATGCCACGGAAACGTTAACTTGAATCAAAATTCTTTGAAACCAGAAAGGTGAAAATAGATGTACACCCTCTGTAGTATGATAGACGCTGAACTTTTGAAGTTAAAATCTGTATTAATTTTTTGTATGTTCTGGAAATGCAAAAATGCACCAAAATGCATAATTTTGGATAGTTTCTAAGACAGCTCAAAATTCTTTGACCTGGAAACGATTGTGCACTGAGGGAACACGTTTGTATATCTCCCTTTAACTTTTTTTTGAGTGGGAATAAAACCTCACACTTGCTATACCAACCCCCCACTTCACGGCTAGACATATATTAAATGGTCATGACTCTAAACCTTATAGTTCCAGACGGTTTTTACAAGATTTTAATAGATTACTTGTGAACTTGGGGAAAAAGTATCTGAACAAACCTGATTACCGTCCAACACGGTAAGGTACATGCAAAATCTCTGGTTTCAGACCATGTGATTCTACCACAACACCAAATATTACCAAGATATACCTCTTCCATAGAAAGACGGAACCAGATATATTAATCATCAATCTAGAAAAAACCCAAACACAGATCTTTTCATAAACCAAGCGTTTTATTGATTCTTACAGAAAAAGAGATAATTTCCGCAAAAAATACAAACATACAAAAGCTAAACAATCATATCTATAAGCGTACACAAGACTGTGATTTCCAGTCTTGGTAAGATTTTGACACAAATTTGCATGCGATGGACAAGTACTTTGGATAGGACAAATCTGAACACAGCCATGTTATGGTTCCATTCTGTCGGCTCAACTCGTATTGCTATAAAGCATGCTTGTAAAGTTCTTGTTGTATCTTTTAAGACTTTCCAAAAAAAACACACAAAAAAACTTACTGTCATAGGTGTAGCATATGGGGCTTCCGACACGGAAAGCAATTTCCCCACAACACAAAGAGTTCTGTTTGGTAAAACGAAAAAGTTTGTGTTTTGGGCAAGTTCCATATCAACTTACGCTACACCCACAAAACTAAGTTTGTAATGGGAAACAGAAATCGTCCGGATTGTCAAAACAAACAGTATAATTTAATATGGATTTGACTAGAATTAAGATAATTAATATCAAAGGTTAATTGAATTAAGACAAACGGTTTGAAAAGCGACAGGATGATATTTGGAACACTGAATGATACATATTGTTATCTACGATAGCTTTCCACTATCAATCTAATATCATAAGCTCATTATGTACACGTGTATAAGATGAATTTCTGCATGAAGTTGAAATGTAAAATTGGAAGCAAAGTTGTCACAATTAAGCTATACTGATGAAGAAATACCATAATATATGTCTACAAATTTTTTCATCAACTTCCATCAATGGCACAAAAACTTGACAAAGTACAGTATAGTAACTTGGCAATTTGAAGTCACACACAAAACAATACCTATGAACGGTGATAACATACTTGTTACATGGAGTATGAAGATTACATGATGGATACGGTATTGACACACACATAGTAATAACACACATGGCGGTCATGGTTTTATTTTGGTCCCAAACACCAACTTGCACATTGTCTATATATATCGAGAGCACTGAACAGTCAATAGCACTACACTTGTACAGGGTGATGACGTCACACTCCATCACGGAGCCGGTGAAAAATAAACAATTCTTCAATCCAACAAAGCGCTGGTGAGAATATACAATTCTTATCAAGCACAAAATTTGCATGCAGTCTCTGTCAATAACTGTGCTGAATTTTGTTCACCATAACACAAACAAACTCGCTCTCATTTTATGATGCTGATAATATTAAAATCTTTCCGCTAGAACAGAATGGAGTTACACGACTTTTTGAGCTGTACAAACAAAAGCACCATTCATCTTTATAACTAACCATCTAACTGAAGACTTCCTCTATGTCGAGTTTTTCAAACTGTACAAACCGGAATGAATTGCTTGGTGTAAACAAACCTACTAGGCGAGTTAAACAATACAACTCCTACACTAAACTACCACTTGTTCTACAGCTACATGTATTTACAGGTCGGTTCAGCACTTGACGAGCATCTCTGTATACCGTCAAGCATTGATCTTTTACAGAACCTTCTTTCTACGTTCAAGTACCCTTTTCTTTTCTTGTAGTACAATGTATTATATATATACCTCTGCATTAATAGCAAAATGTCAATATTTTGTTATAATACAATCTTCACTGTTGTGCCAACCTTATCTCCATTATACTAAACAGGATTTTTTTATACATGTACACGAATAAACTAAACATTGGACACATTAGGCCTACCCACTCAGCTGGTAATATTCACCACATAGTAAAGACATCCCCTGGTCACGACTTATTGTTTAGGGTAACAACTCTTGGATGTTCATACTTAACATCTATATACAAACATTTACATCCTCTCTGAAACGCTCAATGAATTCTCAAGTTATACTGTTTACGTCGTAACAAAAAAGAGAACCAAACATTTTCTGAAGAATAACAATTTCGACACTGTAAACACACCAAACAGATAACAAAAACGCGGAATGCAGAAGACCTCCTCTCAAAAAACACAAATAGATTTTTGATCAATAACAGACTTTGTTTTTCTAATCCTTCTGTACCATTATGACTGAAATCTTGGTCAGACTTCCAGAATTGCATAGTCGCAAACAATGAACACTCAACTTTGTTTTCATCTCCCAGAACAAACATGGAACAATGCTAGATAAAATCGTATGCCTTCTAAGAAGTATCAGTTTCAGAATGTGTTTGATTCTCTATATAGAAAGTATTTGGTTTTATTCAAGAAAAACAGAAAAAAACCCTGTTTCTATGTATAAGGAGAATACTGGCATGACTATACAAAGTGTTCAGATATAATGGTGGTTCACCGTTAACCAATTAACACTTTATACCTTGGCTCTACGGTTTCTTTTTTCTAATGGAAAATTGTCACTCGCACAAAACTTCACCACTGAAGTACTGACAACAGATATTTGATTATAGTAAACACACCAATGTTAGGTTACACAAGGTCAATACTAATATACAGTGCAGGTAACACAACTCAAAACGAAACAAAAACAGGTGTGGTAGTACTGGACAAAAAAACAAAAATTCACAAAAAATTATGTAAAATCGAATGATAATGGGGTGCAGTTCTAGGATACTAAGGATAATAAATGTCTGCTCTCCTGTGCTATTGTGTAAAGTATACAACATAACGTTTACAAACGGTGAACATCTCGAAATTGATGACATGGAATGTAAATACATCAGTATGTGGTTTTAACCTAAATACTTTCAAAAAATGAAATATAAGTTTTCAAAAATGAAAATGAAAAAAAAAAAATGAAAACAGGAGAAGCTGCCAATCAAATGAGAAAATACTTGTGTACAGAAAAAAAATGAGGTATGCAGGCCATGTAAACAAAAAATCATGGGAGATCAACATGAAAACTGACAATTACACTTTCTCACAAAAACAAAACGAAGTACGGGTTTGGTTCAGTGTAAATAATCTTTAAAACTGTGAAGACATCGTTCTTTTCAGTCTTTGCATTTGACGACACGGTGAACACAGGGCAGGGTAAAAGGGCGGGATAGATAGGTAGGGAGGGGCTACACCTCTTAGTCAGAGCTGGTGATCTGTAAGTTCAGCTTGTTCCTCCGGACTTCCTCAATTTTGCGCTCCTGCAATATAATGGTGATACAATAATCAAAAGTTTGAAAGATTAATTACAAATTTCAATATAATGAGTTTGTGTCCTTCTTATATCATACATGTCTTTAACCATCAAACTGGTAATCATTTTTGAAGGGAGATTTGGCTAATTCTTAATCAGGAATTTCTCTTAAATTAAATTTTATATTGAATTTAGACACAAGGTTAAATATTCATCTTTATGGCAAAACATATTAATTATCAATAAAGTTAAAACGAAGGAGACAAACAATCTTGTGTGATGAAAGCTAGATAATTTGTGTGTACATTTACAGAGGTCTACTACAGCACGCCCCTGTATTACTAAAACAAAACAGTGCATACATCACCACCACAAACAACAGTTGGCCGTTCATCGTTGGTTTTAATCATTACCCCCATTTCTCATTTAAAACTAAAGATCAGATTTCTGACAGACACCAAGAACAGATGTTCCTCAATCTTACATGTTCCTTAAGCCGATCTTGCAGTGCTCGCAAGTGCTCTTCACGGTTCTTGAGAGCATTTTCCATCTTGTTTATCATTTTCTCTTCCTGTGCTTTGTTGATGTTCTCGCTGGCCTTGCAAACATCCTCAATATGTTTTCCCTATCAAATACAGTCCATGCGACAGAAATTAGCAACAGAAAATGTATGTATGGAAAATGACAACCAAATTACTTTATAAAGTGCCACTTTTTGTTTTTAATTGATGATTGTGAATGATGAAAAGGGAAAGCAACACTGGGGCATGAAATCGTAAAAGGGTACTGCTTTTGAAATATTACACCCAAACAAAAACTCAAAATGTTGTTGTGTTCAGTAAGAGGAGCAAGCTTGTTGATGTATCTTTATACAGGAGTAGGACAGATGTAGACCAGGACAATAACAACTTACGATAAACAGTTTATGAACAACAGGCTTACGCGCAATAATGAAAAATGAATAAATAAAATAACAGAAAATCGCAATAATGTAAGTTTCTGTGAATAAGAATTTGGTGAAAAATGTTAATGAAATTATGTAAACATAATGAATTGGATTCTTGTAAATATGCCATTATGTATCAAAAAAGAAAAGATATTTTTTTTTCATCAATTCAAGTTGAAAAAATAAAAATATCTTTACATGAACTTTAAAATTTGATAAATTAAGGATAATATAAGAAGCAAACTGAATAAAAACACACAAAGGTGATAAGCTGGAGACTGGGCACGAGGATTTTAGCATCCCAGCAATCATGTTGTCTTATCTAAATTTAGAACACTGATGTACTAGTAATGTAATATTTTCATTATGAATTTTATCTTATTGTATCAGATGAAACTTGACCGACTGAATTCCACCGTGACATGACAGGCCATCTGTGGTAAGTAAGACAGCCCATGCCCAGACTCCGTAACATTTCATTGACAGGCAAACATGGATCTTACGTGATCTTTGAGGCGGACTAGCAAGGCCTGCAGTTGAGCTTTACGGTTTTCCTCTTTTGCTTCAAGTTTCTGATCAATTTTTTCTTTTAAGTTGAGATCTTTGGCCATACTGTCACTATTTTTACAAACTTCTTCCACCCTGGCCAACTGTTGTTATCAGACACAAATCAATGTAAAGACAACATCAATATCTAAAACAACATTCAAAATACTGATAGAAAATACGAGTACTATCTTCCTAATATATAATTGTGTATGCATTCTTAATCTGAATTCTTATTCCAATTGTAAATGGTTTACTTCTTCATGCAAATGTTTGAGAAAATGAATCTTTGCTTGTTAAATTTCTACAACAAAGTGAAGGACTCTCTGACAATATAATAATATTGGGAAAATTGAAATTACTTTGACCGGTCAGTGACAAATCCCATATAATAATTGATCATGTATTTCCCTTGAAGACATTGGCTAAATCTGAAGCGATCAAATCAACTTACTTAAACTTCATCTAAACTATATCTACAGACATCAAGAGATCTAAACAAATACAAACGAGAGTTGTGAAAAGTGACCTACATGATCTCTGAGCTTGTCTTGTAGAGCCATGATCTGGAGTTTCCGGTTCTCCTTTGTGATTTCCATAGACCTACGCAGCTTAGCATGTGCAGCTCTGGCAAACTGCTCCTCCTGTTCCATTGATTTTGACATAACTTCCTGGATTTTCGTTTTCTCTCGTGCAGCAAATTCCACTTTCTGTGCCTCTATGGACTATAAACAGGATTGTTGTAAGTGACGTGATTATATGTAACATACCAATAAAAAAGCCTGAAACTGGCAAACATCACCTGATAAGTACGTATCTCTAGGCAAATGTAACAATTTCAGTTATGTTTATATTGATTTTCAATATAGAATAATAGAGTTTCTACAAAGAGAAACCAGCCTGAATCACAAACATCACCAAATAGGTGTCGAATTGTGTATTTCTAGAGGCAAACACTTTCAAACAATTCCAGTTATATTTATATCAAACTTTCAGGCAATATAATGGATTTCCATAAAAAGTAATGAATACAATTTATTGTCCAGAATCATCAATTGCATAAAGAGCTGTATTTGCACAAGAGCCAAGGCGAGTTTTGGTTGAAGTCCTGGTTTACAAGACAACTAAGTATACATAAGTACCACGAAACATGACAAAACTATAAAATGTCCAAGAGGACTGTATTGCTCACCGGTTACCAAGATATTTCCAATAGACAAGGAAATGAAATATTTCTACTAACTTAGATCGTTACTATTGACCAAAAGAAAAGCTGAGTGCAGTGATGTTCTTACAAAATGTTTGGTTAAAATTGATCTGAAGTAATTCAGAACAAGTAAAAAATAAAAGAGTAAGACCTATAAGAAATAGATCTTTCAAATCTTTACCAGTTTGAAATAATACATACCAGTCTCCGTTCCTCAGCCTCTCTGAGTTTTCTGGCGATTTGATCGTGTGTGAGCGGTCTATCTTTAGGGGGTGAGACAGGCCTGTTGGTGACCTCCATGGCAGCAGGTTTCAGAATGTAGTCGTAGGCCACACCTCCATAGCTCTTCTTGGTACCCTCTGTACACCAACACACACATTTGGTTTAAGATTTCAAGTCGTGTTCATTCATCAAAAGATTACACAGACATGTTCAAAGTGTTAGAAATATTGCAGAAAACAATTTACCCTATCTATGATTAACCTTTATTTCATCACCCAAATTTTTTTTCCCCTATTTCCGTTTTAACTTTGGTGTTGAAAATATTCATGACGATGAAAATATGCATGACGAAAATATTCATGACGACGAAATATATTTATAATATATATATATATGAAGACATTTAAATAATGAGGTTTTGCATTTGATTCCTGCTTACTAATTTTTACACAAACAACATATGCATAAATCTTTCACAACATTTCAACACCAACTGGTCTCCTTGTGCATTCTGATTACTTTTGTTCATTAAAAGTTTTGAGTATAGGTCAAAATAGTCATGCACATGAACTACATTGTGGAAAAGATAACTAAGCAAAGATCCATGAAGGCCTTGGACCAACACTCTTATTGCTTCACATACAATCTAGGTTAATAAGATGCTTGAAATCGCGCCTCAGTTAAATTTGAATACAGTTTCTATTCAAACACTAAAAAAAATGAGTCATAACTTAAGGAGAAGATTTTCCAAAACAAATAAAGGTAGTTGGATCAGAAGCTAGACACAGTAATGCCAAGATTTCATTCATGTGTTATTTTGAAAACAATCGAAGAGATCGGGCACAAGTTCCGACAATTTACCAGTCCCTCTCCTGATTCAAAAACTCTAAATGGTATTATGTTGGCAAAATTATCATTGGAATGACATGATATGTAGCTCTTATTATAACGAACACCAGATAAAATAACTCAATAGTGAATTGTTTAAAATTGTACAATGTAGTCCATTGAACAAATTAGTCCTGTCCATTTTTCCTTTTTAGACTGATTATTCTAAATACACAAGCACACACTATATATATATATAAATAAAGGAGAAACTGAGTAATTACAATTGAGCAAGATGCAAGAAATATAGTTAAAAATAATGAGTACAAAAAATATAAAATCAAAATGATCTGTACAAAATATACTACACAAAAACATTTGATGTGCAAGTTCAGTAAGCTGGGGAAGCAATTTCTTTCTAACAAAATTATATAATACTATAATCTTTCTGAGGAATGGTGCCATGATGGTTTTTAGTCAGGCTTCACATTAATAAATAATAGCAAAAATATTATTGTTGCCTTTATGAGTAGGATGCCACCTTTTAAAATATCAAATCAACCGACACTTGGTCATGTGATATTGGTCCTAAAATATTAATGCTGACATGTGCCCATGCCAGAGGAGTCATTTGTAATTACTTCAGAACTCACAATAGGGAGATATTGAACATTTTTTTCTTTCTTTCTAAAAGTCTATGACCTCTTAACTGAAGGAACTCACTTTTTAGTGTCAAAACACACTTTTAACAATTTAGTCACATCAAATTGTAGCAATATGCAGATTCTTCAGAGAGAATTTCAGTTTTTATGGTACAATATAAAGAAACTCCCCAAGATAGGAAACATCTGGATAGCATATTTGAATGAACCCCACATGAAATGGTAAAACATACACCAATTGTTTCACAGCACAGGGAAAGTTACCTGAAATGAAAAGTAGACAAAACTGAGGTATTATAAAATTATTACAAAATATCATCTACCTTGTGTAAGTACACAAAAGAAATCAATATTTCTAATAAAAATAAAATGAAACAGCACTCACAAGACAACACCAAATTTGCATGACGACATGCAAGAGTTGTGTGGGAAATGGTACTGACTTTCACCTTTCCCCTTCCACACAATTATAGCGTCGAATGCCCGTTTGTTTGGGTGAACCTGTGGGTGGATAGCTGGCTTTTTTTGAACTGAATGTCGCATACATGAGAATATGTTCAGCCAATTACTGCAAGCTGTTAATTGAAAAGAACAAACATGTTAGTAGAAACTTCATCATGATAATAGAAAAGTCATGTTAGTAGTAACTAGGTCATAGTGATAATGGAAAAGTCATGTTAGTAGTGATGATAGAAAAGTCATGTTTGTAGTGATAATAGAAAAGTCATGTTAGTAGTAACTAGGTCATAGTGATAATGGAAAAGTCATGTTTGTAGTAACTATTTCATAGTGATGATAGAAAAGTCATGTTAGTAGTAACTATTTCAGTGATGATAGAAAAGTGATACAAGTAGTAACTAGTCTATAATGATAATAGAGACAGAACAGACATTTCACATTAGTACAGTTTCTGAGTGAAAGTAGAGAACTTTGATGATGGTCACAGATAGTGTTAGCTGTGAAACTAAAACATTAACTCCTGTAATTCGCTGGACTTTTGTGAATACTTGTATGTGTGACTTTGCTATGGTTTATAATATTACCAATAACAGCCTTATATAGGCTTCTTTGAATAAATATATTGGCGATTTACTCTCCTCATGATTTATGGAAAATGAAGCAATAAAGCTGTATCTTAGCAATATAAGAGTTTCACAGATCTTCATACAGCATAAACAACTACTGGGTACCCAGAACCATATAGAATCTGCTGACGTAACTTTAAAACAAGAGAACCAATGGCCTTGTATTGCTCACCAGAAAATACAGTGGAAATCAGCCAAGCATTATGGGAAGATTTGTTGTCACTAGGAATACTAGCCACTTTTAACAAAAGTAAAGTAATATTGTCCCTCCTGTTTGAATCATACAGAATCAATAACAGGACGCATGCCTTATCACCAGAAGCTGATACATCAGATACATTGGACGTTGGATTGTTTGCTTTGACACATGCTCAGGTAACACATCAACTATAATAAGTAAGAGGAATCCCGGAGGGGTCTAGGTGCCCACCATTGTAAGGTGTTTATCTTCTTTTATGTAATCTGTTTGATCAAGTCATGTCAACAGTAAATGCATCTTGTGGTAACTGTGGATCAATACTTCATATATATAGGCTTGGCTGTGTGTTTTCAAAGTGAGACTGTCGTTTGATCTATTACTAGCATTGTTATGATTAAATGTGTAAAACACAGACCAAGAGAGATTCATGATTTCTGGCAGTTCGATTTTCCTAATAATCAAGCATCTTAAAACTCAAAATGAAATAAATGCAAAACTAGGGAACAGGATGAACCTACTTTAGTACTTATGAAATCTGAGGAAGATCTAGATATGCTTTCAGAGATATAGTGATTAAACTTCAACAGCTAAATTGAAGATGTCTACCTGGTGGCCATCTCCCCCCCCAATAAATCTTGAAATTAAACTTAGAACCAAGTCAGAGAAGCCCATACAAGAAAATCAAAAGATCCCTTCAGTCCTTTTGGAGAAAGAAGAAAAACAAACTTCAATTATCAAAATCCAAGATGGCATCTTGTTCTTTTGATAAATTCAAAATTATACATCCCCGACTTAGAAAAACAGAGAAAGCTACATATGAAGTTGGAGTAAGATATGCCAAGTATCCCTGAGAATAGCAATAGCAAACTCAAACTATCTGTATCAAAATACAAGGAGGCTGCCTGGATCTTGTTTTTCTTTTTGGTCCCAAAATTTAAAGGAAACATGCAAAATTTAGGCTCAAGGGGAATACAAGAAAAAAACTTTCCAATAGTTCTTCAGAAATAGCTATAAAAAGAATTCTGTAATGACAGGTTTTATATAACAGATAAAAGTGGATTGGGACAGCTGGCTATCAATTGGCTAAAATTCAGTAAATTCCTCATTAGTGCGATTTTGCAAATTTTGAAGAAGGACTAAATTAAGTATTTCCATCATCTGCTTAAAATTTGAGAGACAATATATAATAAATAGTATAGCATGCTCATATTATAGCTATTGTGTCAGTTAATTAAAAGCTTGTTAATTACCGATCTGTTTCAGAAATCGATTTTCTGTGAAACAGATCTGCACTGGACCCAACACAATTGCAAGTTTGCATAAATATGCATGCTAGCCGATACAGAAATATCGCTGTGTACCTTCTATAAACATTGTCATTGAAGGAAACGATAATAGACCTTTTATATCTTCACCGATCACGTTCTTATTGTTGGTTCAAGGGATTCAAAATGAGAGGTCTTAAATAGCAAGATTCGCAGTACCAACAGTTCTACTAACAAATTAATGATTGTCTGAGTTTCTGTGTGTGATGTTCTTGTTTGATGGAAGACTAAAATGCCTTCAAACACAACCATTTTGTTCACTACTAAATCTAGTTACAATGGAATCTGATAAGGACACGTTATTCCAGTTGTATTTGTATGGACAGAAGGAAACAATGAATTGCTAGATGAATAAACATTTAGATTCCTGTCTTTGCCAATACAAAACTAGGTTGATTCTCTTGAGTCTTGTGTCCCATTTATATGGCAATGATCAAGATTAAATGGGAAGTACTTTTGGCTTCGCTAGCCATAGGGGCGGATTGAAACCTATTTGTGTCATACACGTGATGCCAAAATTGGAGATCATTTCCCACCCACTAAACTTTAAGTGTGCTCCACTCCCAGGTATCCGTATGACAAAGACAACATATGATGTGGCCGCCACGCAACCAGGATTGACATTTCATTGTTGGGGACTGGGGACACACATTAAGGCACTTACACATACAGGATATTGACCTAGGTATAAACACAACATCTGGCTGTACAGATACAGCTATTAGTGAGGTTGGGAGAGCTGTAAGCTCTAAGGGCTATTCTCTATACTTTTTTTTATTGACTTGACTGTCTAAGTGACAGTGGCCGGCATTTTGGCAGCTATTTCCTCTTCTATATCAACTGCCTCATCCCCCTGACAAGTTTGTCATATTCCCATCACTCCCAATAGCATTTGGAGAAATACTAGCGTACATGAATTATAGATGATGTGGGTTTTTATCGAAATCCTCCCTCATATGTACTGGGAGAAATGTTTTTGGGCACTGTTCCAAAATCCTCATACGATCTGACCATTGTTGAGTATCCTCTATGACAAAACTACTATAGTTCACAAATCGATATGCTTTGCCATTTCCATAGTTTATCTGGAAACCTTATAATCAGTGGCTATTTTCCAAAAGTACACAAAAGAAACTATAAACTATCGCTTTCATGGCACATCTTTATATGTTTTCAGTGGTGTACGATTCCACTAGCCTGAAGCCAGATAGGTCTAGTAGATTTAATGTCTGGCCAGGTTTTTTTTATAACTTTGAAAAATTTAAGTTGGGCTCGTGGATTTTTCAAGATCTGCCTGCAGACCAGTATTCTGAATATGAAATTGCACACTCTTTGTTTTTGTAACTTTCACCAGAAATATTCATCTCATGCAGTATGTTACTTGTTTTTAACCTTGCAAAAAATCTCCATTGTCATATAGTTTTCTAGATATATAATATCTGAACATTGTGGAAGAGAATGGTCCCCAAACTTGTGATGGTAGTTTATAACGTTCATCGAACTCCTCGAGTTAACCCCACAAACAAAAGTCCCACAATGAATGGTTTTCTTTTCAGAAATGATTAATCAAAGCTATAGTTCTTTTGGGAAGTCAGGTTCCAATACAGTTATTGGCAGTGGTACGAGGATCCTTAAACAGTGCCATTGCATTAACAGTTCTTGCGAATATCAATGTTTGTAAGTTTATTTAATTAAGTTAAGCATTCAAATCTTCAAATTTTATTCCATAAATTGTATCGCAGGATGTGTTTTACGAAAAAGACAATATAGTGTTAACGATATATTTTATTTTAATGGTAAGTACTCTTTACCTCAACTTTAGTCGATATAAATTTCTAACTAGGACTGCCCACACATATTTTTTTTTCAAGCCCCAATAAGTTTTGTACTAATACTGCTGATGGAATTATCAAACAAAAAGGATAATGACAGTATGCATTATGACTTGAGCTTAATTCCTTGCCTCTGGTTATTCTAGCAAACCTAGTTATATATCACAAGGAATAATTAAATGTGCCTCGACACTAATCAAAAGTTCAAATACTGATGGTTTTTGTGACTGCTGCAGGGATTCTGTAATGTGACCAAATTACATCTTGCATTTCTACCATTATGAACAATATCAGATAGTAGCAGACGGCGCTAGGCTTTGAGAATACATCTATCCTGCTACAGACGTAATAGGAAAAATACACGTATACTCTATTCTTGTAAGCACACATGTATAATCTCTTTCAACCTGCAGTGTATGGTGCAGCAAGCCCTACACATGATCTTGTCTGGGACATCTGCAGCAAACCCACCAATCCACGGTACCACACTTGAGAATATAGATATTGGTATTGCCAAGATGTGGGCCGGGATCCAAAGTGGCACATCAATATAATGTCTGCTTCTAGGAACGAAATGGTAAACAGACTGTCTAGGCACAGCCAGAGAGGCTATACAACTCCAACAACATCACACTTCATGGGCGGTAAGAACAACATAAAACTGGAATTTCTCACACAATATAATCTACAGCAGCTCACCAGTATACCGCAGACTATACCAAAACACCTACCAGTACAACAGAATGAATTGTGACCAAGATAATATACTTACTTACAGCAGATAAAACGATCTCAATACAACCTAGTATCACAATGACTTCTCTTATATTAAATGAATGAAATAATATTAAAGCAGCTGACATTCATTTTTGACAAAAATATTGTCAATTCAGCACAATATTCTTGGCACCAAAATTCATGGGGGTCTATACTGTCAAAGAACATATTACTATTGTGTTAAACTTCAGGCAAAAGAAGTTTCTCGATGGCTGTTAGCTATAGCAAAACAAGGGAGCTATTTTTTGTTAGATGTGTAGTCATTGTTGGTTTTCAGTTATATATTACAGTGCAAAAATGTATAAACTACATGTATGATCATTAACATCCCCTTCACCCCCCTCCCACCCCTGGAAG